AGTTCCCAAGAGGAGAGAAAAGGGTGAATGGCCAACACGCGAATAGAAAAGGGCGAACGACCAATCAGAGAGGAGAGAAAGCCTTTAGAAATTTTTGCCTTTTCTATTCTAATAGAAAAGCCCTTTCTATTCGCCCTCCCCTCCCGACTTTACCCTCGCCAAATATAATCAGGTACTATTACATCAGTTTGCAAGTCCTGCTCTGAAGCTCTACAAGTAAAATCTGAGACGGCTTTCTGATCCACCGATTTGCATTTCAAGCGACTCACACTGTCCAGAGCTCCTTCCATTGTTCTACCGTTGTGTGCTTTTAAAAGTAAGTGCTGTTTTTTTTTTTTTTTTGTGCTTTCATTTTGTGAGTAGCTCAAAACTAACCGGCTTTTTTTGCTCGCATTAACCGCCGGACCTGTTACGGTAGCATTTGAATATCTGCCTGTCATCTTAAGTACTGTCTTAAGCTTGACGGCCGCTATTGACCATATTCTTCGTCAATTTCTGTTTTGGAGTTCTCTTTCGCTGGAAATTTAAAAAAAGAAAACAGAGCTCTTGTTTCTGTGTGAAGGTGTGATGAGTTTTCGATCTGACGATCTGGATTTTGTGTTTGTTTTCCTCTGTACAGAAGTGTCATATATACACAGATTATTGCATAAATATATCTCTTGCCTCATCAATATGCTAGGCATCTTCATCCAACTGAAGCAGGAAGCCAAAAATGAGTCTCTGTTCGATACAAACTACCCAATTATGGTGTCTCTTATCGTTGCCATACTCGCTTATGGTGGATCACTAATTGGCTCCAGAATATTGCATGTTCAAGCTCACCCTAATTTGGATTTGGCAGAATCAATCATCAATAAGATTAGCCTCCTCTTTGGAACTCTTGTCATGATTTTAGAAGTGGTGATCCTTGTGCCAATTTTAGGGCTTGTAGCCGGATTGCTCTGGGTTGTTTGGTTTGTGAAGGTTGTACGAAATGACTACGCCTTCGAGTACCTCAAAACGTTGTGTGAAAATGCAATTGCATCAGTTGTTCATACATTTAGCAAATTGAAAGATTATTTGAATATGATCATCCAACGTTTTGCAACGGAACTAGAAGAACAAACTAATGAGCTTCGTCAAGGAACTTCTACCACAGTTTAGGTCTGGGGTATTTCTTTTACTCGTTATTTTTTTACTTATTTTGTTGAGTTGGACTATATTGAACTCAGCATATGAATAGTTAAGTGTGAAGTGGTAATATGTGAAAGAAAATTCGAGCAATGACATCCTAATTGAATAGCTCTTTCAAGCACGACTGCATTTTGTGCTCCGTTTTGCTGTTTCATTTCTTGCGCTGCTTTTTCTTGCTAGCTCCATGTGGAGTATATTACTATGAAACTTTTTGGGTTAAATAGATAACGTTAAAATATTGCTACGTAAATTTATATGAAGGGGATAAAGAATAGAGGGAGGGCAGAGAACGGAGTCTGGGTTTTGAGTGAAGGGGAAAAGCAGTGTCTGTATCACACTTGGCGTGGGAGGTTATTGGCCACGAAACGACATACAAAAGGTTGTCGTGCCATCCACTCTGGAAGGGAGGGAAAAATTTGTGCTAAATTTTATCACCTACGTCCCATTTCACTTTCATCTCTTTTCAAATAAAACGGGTTTAGCATCACGAGGAAAATTTTAAACTTTGGTCATTGGATCACGTGGACGTGAAGTCACTAGTGTTTGAAATTTCTTTGATACGGTTGATGTTTCTGTAAAAATATCAAAAAAATTCGAAAAAAGATATGGAAAACTAACCAACTCAAATTGTAGTTGTTGGTTCGACTTTTACCATTAAAAAGTCAAATGGTTTAGAAATCGAACCAAACTTTTAGTGGTGGTTTTGGTTATGGGTGAGCATGGTTCGGTTTGTTTCAATTTGACACAAAAAATATAATGAAACTAATTACCATTTAACAATTCGGTTTGATTTTTTATCAATACCACCATTGAAATCGAACCAAATCATTGTTAATTGGTTTGATTTGGTTGGTTTAAGCTAGTCCATCACAAATACTAAAAAAGGGTTCAACATTCTAGAGTTTTAAGCTTTTAAGCATCCATACATCTTTCACATTCCAATTCAATCAAAAGATTAAGCTTTCCGATACATAAACTACATATTAATAGAACTCTCTTTATCAACCAAAATAGGATGAAAAGACTATTTAGTCTTCTATCACAACAAAATTTTTTTAAGGATAATAATGTAATTTTACAAAACAAAATTTTGCTATTTTTTTTGTTAAAACCTCACCTACATGTGATTTTAACATTTCTAATTAAAAAAAAAACAAAGAAACCTCTCTCCCTCCTTCTCAACTGCCACGTTCTCTCTCAATCTCTTACTCTCTCCAAATTTAAAAACAAAAATAAAAAATTTGGCACAAATTTTGTTTGTGGGCCCATATACTAGTTAGTTAGGGAAAAGAATCCTTGCCGGATCCTACAAAAGTATTGCATAAATATATATGTTCCCTCATCACCATGCTCGGCATCTTCGTCAAATTGAAGCAAGGAACTAGAAATGAGTCTCTGTTCAACACAGACTACCTAACTATGGTGTCCCTTATCGTTGCGCTAATTGCTTATGGCGGATCACTAATTGGCTCTAGAATACACGTCCAAACTCGCTCTAATTCGGATTTGGCAGAATCAATCATCAATAAGATTAGTCTCCTCTTTGGAATTCTTGCCTTGATTTTAGAAGTGGTGATCCATGTGCCAGGTTTAGGGCTAGTCGCCCTATTCTTCTAGGTTGTTTGGTTTGTGAACGTTGTAGTTGAGTACGCCTGTCAATACCTTGAAATGTTGTATCAAAGTGCAATGACATCAATTGTTCATACATTTGGAAAATTGAAAGACTATCTGTACATGATTATCCGATGTTTCACAATGAAACCTGAAGAACAAACTAATGAGCTTCCTCAAGTGAGTTCTACCACGGTTTAGGTTTAGGTTTAAAGTATACGTTTTACTCGTTATTTTTTTTCCTTATTTTGAGTTGGGCTACATTGAACTCAACTTATGATTAGTTAACTGCGAAGTGGTTATATGTGAGAGAAAATTCAATCAACGACATCCTAATTTCCGTGAAAAGAGTTGGTAATTAACTTTCTGATATATTTTTCGTGTTAGAGATAGAAAATATATGAGAAAACTAACTCTCGTGTTCCTCAACAATAAACATGGAGAGCTACCCTTTCCATAGAGATACAGAAGTGCATCGCAGTAGAGTTAATATGCATGGATATCTTTCCTTGGAATTTTTAAGCCATGGAGTTGTAATTGCACACAATCCTTAATTTGGTTTCCGGTATTCAGAGTGAACTTGTATGATTAATCAAAATAAGTTTACAGAAGAATTTGTTAAACTGAGACAAAGAGAGTGTAACATAAACTGCAGTAGTCTTCGAACCCAAAGCCGTGTCCATGCTGGTGCGCTTAACCACAAGGCTAGGAAGAAGGCCGGTGCTTGACGTTGATTTTTGCATCCATTTTTCTCTGAAACTATTTCATTCACGCATGCCAACGGCGTCTCAGTTTGGTGAAAGTCTCGACTTATACCGAGAATGTTGCATCTACTCGCCTCTGCATTTCGTCCCAAGCAGATTGTAAATTATAAGAGAAACAGTACACAATAACTTTCCCTTTCATTTTCAAATTCCAATCCAAGTTATGTATCAAATAAATTTTGTCTCCAACCATAACATTTGCTGATATTCTGTAACACACCTTCTCATCAATTCTGTCTCTTTATACTACTTGTAGTACAAATGCTAGTATCGACTCTCTAACATGTATAATCGCTAATATTGAATTGATGGTTAGGGCATTCCTCTTCAATTTATTATATTTCGGATTCACATTATTCCTCTCTTTAATCTAGTATAAAATAATAATATCGTTTGTAATAAAAAACAAACAAGAAATTAAAAAAAAAAATATTTAAATCAAAAACGACTTTGTTACGTACAAAGTTAACAAATAGCCTGAAACTTCTTTATAAATGGAAACTTTACACAAATAAAATTACATGCATTGGGATTGGTCTATATATATGAGGGAATCATGTCACATTCTGGCTGGAGGGGATAATCATGTCATTCTACCCAAGGGTCCATCATCCTCCATAGTCTTATCCAGATTCCAGGAAAAGGAAAGGAAACAGTCTTGTTCGACTCAGCACAGTCAGCAGCCGCTACCGACCAGTTGCACATTAAGTCAGCACATAATAAACTCAAAAAGGGAACAATTTAATTTCTGATTGTTTAAGTTGAAAAGACTAACCTGCTCCAATTAGGCACTCAACATTTATCTGAGCCGTTGATTTAATCTTGCGCATCTTCCATCTTTTATGATCAGATTAGAAGACATAAATGTTGTGGCATCAACATTTATCTGAGTCGCTTTCCATTTTGTTTTCTTCGTCAACGAGTCGCTTTCCAGTGTGGTTTCATCCTCAACAGTCGTTTTCCATTTTGGTTTGATCGTCAACACTCGCTTTCTGTCTTTGTTTTGCATATTCGATGAAGTGATCCTATTTCACACATCATTTTTAACTTTTCACACATCTTCTTGATTTGCGATTGTTGGATTAAATAAATTGAAGAACATCAATGAATCGAAATTAATTAGAAATGTGTGAGAAGTAAAAAGAAAAGTGTGAATAGCACACACATTTTCGTATAGTTTCAAACTCTTCGTATAGTTTCAAACTTTGTGTATAATTTCAAACTCTTCGTATAGTTTCAAACGGTATAATTTCACCTTTTCGTATAGTTTCAAAATTTTTGTATAATTTCAAACTCTTCGTATAGTTTCACTGTATAATTTCAAACTCTTCATATAGTTTCAAACTCTTGGTATAGTATCAAATTCTTCGTATGGTTTCAACTGTTTTTTATTTTTATTTTTATTGGGTTACGAGCTAGGGGGTTGTCGTTGATGGTAGGCCCACAGTTTGTCGCCTATGGATGCTGGCTCGTAGAAGTTATCCTACCCATCCAATTACTAATATTCCAACACCTGTCTAAATATGATCAGAGACCGCCTGCCCTTCCGCCCAACATCCAGGCAGCGCCCACTTGCATTTTTTCACTCACAAGATCATAGGTTCAGTAATTTGCATTTGAAGACGACGTACACCCTACAGAGCTCCGTCCATCGTTCTACCCTTGTCTGCTCACAAAAGTAGGTGCCCTTTTTCTTTTTCTTTTCTTTTTTTTTTTTTTGCGCTTCAATTTGGGAGTGTAGCTCAAAAGTAACTGCGTTTTTTTGCTCGCATTCATCGCCGGACTGGTTAGGGTACCATTTGAATATCTGCTTGACATTCTTAAGCACTGTCTTAAGCTTGACGGCTGTAAATGGCCATATTCTTCGTAACGAATTTCTGTTTTGGAGTCCTCTTTTGCCAGAATTTAAAAACGAAAAGAAAAAAAGAAAACAGAGCTCTCGTTTCTGGAAAGGAGAAAACAGAGCTCTTGTGTGTGTGTGCGTGTGAAGGTGTGACGAGTCTTCGATCTGAATTTTGTTATTGTATTCCTCTGTACAGAAGCGTTATATAACGCAGATGGATCGTGTCCCAGACATTGCTCGCTACGTTCGGAGCTAGAAGGGTAAGTGTATGATCTGCTTGCCTCTTTTCTTTTTATTCCTTTTATTTGGGGAAAATGATGGGATGCCAAAAAAGAACTGATTAATTAGCAATTAAGCTATAGAACTCAGCTCTTGATATGTCTAGGCATTTTTTTATTGAGAAATTAAGAGTGCCGAATGTCTATAACTCTATATCGATTAGTTATTAACAAACATTGAAGAAAAATACCAGCTAGCTATGTACCTTGTTACAACTTACCTACTTAATCAGTTTATTTCAGATGATTTATTAGCTTTATTAATTTATAGGTAGATCATACGTTCTCATTCTTTATATCACATTAGTGTACCATCTCATGTGACATGTGACATATACGCAACATTTATTAATATAAATTTATTAATTGAAGTGACATGTACACGTCATTTACCACATCAAATAGTACAAAAACATGGTCTTCCTAACATTTTTCTATTAATTAAGAAACCATATATATTGTAGATAATTCATTAATGCAATTCCATTCAACTTTTTCATTAACTATATGTATACAACACACAAGCCAAGAACGTTCTACAAATGTACTGCATACGTATATATGTTCCCTCATCACCATGTTGGGCGGTTTCCTCCGACTAAAGCAGGGAGTCAGAAATGAGTCTCTCTTCGACACAAACTATCCAACTATGGTGTCCCTTATCATTGCGCTAATCACTTATGTCGGATCACTAATTGGTTCTATAATACTACACGTCCAAGCTTGCCCAAATTCGGATTTAGCAGAATCAATCATCTATAAGATTAGCCTCCTCTTTGGAAGTCTTGCCTTGATTTTAGAAGTGGTGATCCTTGTGCCAGGTTTTCTTTTGGGTTGTTTGGTTTGTGAACATTGTAGCTGAGTACGCTTGCAAATACCTCAAAACGTTGTACCAAAATGTAATTGCATCAGTTGTTCATACATTTGCCAAATTGAAAGAGCATCTAAACATGATCATCTGACGTTTCACAATGGAATCCGAGGAACGAAATGATGAGCTTCCTCAAGCAACTTCTACCATGGTTTTAGTTTAGGTTTGGGGTATTATTTTTACGTGTTGTTTTTTGAGTTGGACTATATTGAACTCAGCTTATGAATAGTTAAGTGTGAAGTGGTAATATGTGAAAGAAGATTCAAGCAATGACATCCTAAATCCTAATTCTTGCGAAAAGAGTTGGCAATTAACATAATTTACTTTTCTAATGTATTTTTGTGCTAGAGAGAGAAAATATATGAGAAAAATAAGTAACGGAGAGGGATGAAAGAAGGTTGTGGGAGGAAGGAGGGATGAAAGGAGGTTGTGGGAGGAAGGAGGGATGAAAATTATATGAAATTAAAAACTTGATATAATGATAACTACCCTATATTAAGTTTTTGTTGTGTGTGTCATTTCGTACACATTATTTTTACATTTCTTCCACCGTCATTCTTTCACTCTTTTGAATTTCTTATTTCACTAAAACGTACTTTTCCTTTATGTATAACACAAAAAATGGTTAAAAATTAAAACCGAAATAAATACCAAATCAGTCTAGAATTTTTGTTTTGTAACTTAAATTCCTATGGTATATTCAGTTGTCACAGACTCTTTAATGAGATCGTGCGGCTGGAACTTAACCGTGCTTTAATTATTACTATCTTTTCTATTTCCTTTTTTTGTTTTTCCTTTTTCTGCCTCTCTTTAAGGAGACGCGCAGCAAACCACGCAGAGAGGTTCAATCGAACCCCAATCCCTCCTCCTTTTGATGATTCTGGACAATCTGGAGAATGGGTGTAAGGATTTGGATTTTTATTTAAAGTAATAGTTTTCTGGAGCATGGATTCGGTGATATGTGAATACTCCTCCTTGGTTCAAAACTTCAAATTGCACATCTCAATTTCTGGAAGTCGGGTTCAAGGAATTGGGAGTTTCAAAGTTTTATATTCTGACATCTTCTCTGAACGTCGTCAATGCGAGCAGATATTCAAATGCTACCGTAACCGGTCCGGTGGTCAGGGCAGGACTTGCACTGCGCAGCAATACTTGGCGAGCTGGAGAGGGCGAATAGAAAAAGTATTTTGGGTGGAATGACCTAAATGGACGCGGATAAACGCTGATTTTTTATTACTAGCCGAGTGTAAAGTCGGGAGGGTAAAGTTGGGAGAGGATGGTAAATAGAAAAAGCATTTTTGGGTGGAATGACCTAAATGGACGCGGATAACCACTTATTCTTGATTACTTGGCGAGGGTAAAGTCGGGAGAGGATGGCGAATAGAAAATGTTTTTTTGGGTGGAATAACATGCACCCGGTCTTTAACATTAACCTGGTGGCTCTTGATTTAATTTTTTTCTTTTCTTTTTCAATTTCTTGTTTGTTTTTTTTATTACAAATGATATGATTATTCCATACTAGATTAATGAGAAATTTATCACAGTTTCTATCCTCATAACCGGGGAAGCAGCAGTCGTTTTGGTGTCTTTATGAAAGACACCAAAACATTGAAATAGATTCAAATAGATTTCTCTCAAGGCGTTCAATTCCTCCAAAACATTGAATTCTTTTTTTAACACGCTATATTCTACATTAGTTTTCGTTATGAAAGAGAAAGTCCGTACTATAGTTGTAATTACATTTTTACTGTTTTACTTTTCTTTTTTACTCTGTTGAAATTAGTCCATACTAGTATAGAGCAATCTCCGTATCAGCAAACTAGCAAGAAGCCGGTATAAAACAACTTTGCACACTGGAAAATGCACTAGAAATGCACACTGGGACCCTGCAATAGAAAAGCAACTTTGCATTTTCAAGTGTGCTTGGCGTGTAGAGCCAAATATATAAACAACCATTGCGCACCGCGCAGTGCAAGACCTGCCCTGAAGCTCTACAAGTATAATCCAGAGACGGCTTTCTGATCCAGTAATTTGCATTTCAAGCGACTCACACTGTCCTGAGCTCCTTCCATTGTTCTACCATTGTGTGCTCATAAAAGTAAGTGCTGTTTTTTTTTTTTTTTTTTTTTTTTTGTGCTTTCATTTTGTGAGTAGCTCAAAACTAACCGGCTTATTTTGCTTGCATTAACCGCCGGACCGGTTACGGTAGCATTTGAATATCTGCCTGCCATCTTAACACTACTACAATATATGCTATCACCGGCGGAGGACAAACCGACGAGAAATCAACTTTCTGTCGAAAATTTGGCACAAATCCGACATTACATAATGTAATGTCGCTTTTCAATAGCGACACTATTGCTAGGGTCGCAAAAGGGCTTCAGCGTCGCTTTTTGAGCTTAATCCGCCACTACACAGTGTCGCTTTAAAGCGACACTAACCCTAACGTCGGTTTAAAGCGACGCATACTTACACGTGGATCAGCTATTTAATAATAAAGTATGCAGTATACTGTCGCTTTAAAGCGACATTATATTAAAATGAAATAAATAAAATATTCCTTAAACCGACGTTAGATAACAATGAAATAAATAAAATATAAAAACTAGCGACGCATACTTACACGTGCATCAGCTATTTAATAATAAAGTATGCAGTATACTGTCGCTTTAAAGCGACATTATATTGAAATGAAATAAATAAAATATTCCTTAAACCGACGTTAGATAACAATTAAATAAATAAAATATAAAAACTAGTAACGGTCTTAACCGACACTATATTTTTTAATAATAATAAAAGTGGATGAACAACTGCATGCAATTTCAATTAATTCCAACCAAAAAAAATTATAAATTTTAAGATCAAAATAAACATTAATGAAAATAAATAACAAAAACAATAGTGCCAAACCGTACATTTCACATTTCACATAAAATCCAAAAAGTCGTCCGTCGTAACAAACATTAAATCCGACATTACAAACATAACATAAAAAAACAAAAAGATAGACCAATTATACTGTCGTATTTAACCGACAAGAAAAAGAACCAATTAAACTACCCAACCGAATCTGCGCCTGAACGTCGTCCAGATCCTTCTGCTTGAGAATCTTCTCCTTGAGATACTCCTCCTTGAGATCCTCCATCTGATCCAAAAATCCTCGACAAGTCCACATCAAATCCAACACCTGCAAGCATTCCAGAAAACCCCCCAACTGGAACTTCAGGAAAAGATCCACTAGGAGCAGCCATCTCAGGTCGATATACTGGCACTTGATAAGGTGGCTGCTGCATATATGGCATGGGCGGCTGCTGCATGTATGGCATGGGCGGCTGCTGCATGTATGGCATGGGCTGCGCAGGCATCGGATACACAGGATATAGAGGTTGCTGATTATTGCCAGCATACGGATATGCAGGGGAAGGCTGACTTTGGCCCGACTGTTGAGGAGGTTGACTGTGGCCTGATTGTTGGGTTCCCGGGCTATATGGTGGTTGTGGCTGAAATCTTTGAAAAAACCATGCAAACAACTGATTTTGCTTGTTCTCCAGGTCCGAAATCCGTTTATTATTATTTTCGTCTCTCAATTTCAACTCATTATTTTGAGTCATTAGCAACGCCATTGAACTCTTAGATGATCTCCTAGAGGAAATTGATGTAGAAGATGCAGAAGATGCATAAGACACCATATCAGGAGTCACACCATGACCGTATCCTCTGACTCTATTATACCTCTCAGGACCCATAGTATCAACATAAACTTGGGTCCTAAGATCTTCATTATCGTCTTGGCCCGACTCAATCAATGTTTGCAGGTTGCTCTCCATTGTTGACTTGCATTACAATTTTTAAAAACAAAAATTCAATCGTAAAACAGAAAAATAAGCTATAGATAATAAATACTAATAAAATCAAATACTAACACGAAAAAATCAATTACCCCTGTACGCTCCGATGTTTCATCAATCCATGATTTATCTTTTCGTGTATGACATTCACGAAAAAAGGTTACAGGATCTGCTTCTTTCCCATGCTTCTTCCGCTTTATCAAAAATAAAATTTCATACAAACAAATTAAGCAAACCTCATACTAAAAATAAATATAATTATTTAAAATTAATCATCTCTTGAAAATGTACAATCCATACATATTCTTCCCGCACTCTTGCAAAGGATTTTGTACCAGTAGTATGGTTCATTGATTTCAATCCCCGATTAATCTTATTTTTTTCAGCAACCTCCTGAAAAAAAACGAACGAAAAAAGAAAAGATTATATTAGGCAACTTTAAAGTTATAACGAAATAAATCGTGTAGGGTTTACCTTTGTTTTGTCTCTATTCCAATATGCCAACAAATCATTCCACTGGGTAGGAATCACATCAGGAGGAGGCTCGCTGCGAACCTGTTCTGCTCTTTTAGTATAATACTTTTTTTTTAACTTATTTCTAAACTCTTTGTGCGCATGCTCCGCAATCTTAAGCGTCATATGACGGATCAAAGGCATTTTTACTATATCTGCATCTTCAAAAAAGATACTTCCCTACATACATAAAAACAAAAAACAAAAAAAATCACGCTAGTCAAATATTATTACAATCATTGACCTATTCTTCTATTTTCAACTAAAAATAAAAAGATCTATATATACCTTTATTCTATTCCAAAAAGCTTCCTTATCTTCTTCCGTAACCTTACGCCAATCTTTCTCCAACGGAAGATTTCTATAGTCCCTAACCTCCGCTGCTACATGTTTTGAAAAAGCACTAGCGTTATCACTAATGCATTTTCCGGACGAATCAAACGAACAAAGCTGTTTCGTCCATTTAGGAATTGAGGGTCCACGCCTCCGTTGAGATGTACCTTGTTAATACAAACACACAATTAAAAAGTAGGAAACAAAAGTATATTTTCAGATTAGCAATAATAATCGTTCAAACACACAAAAAAAAAAAAAAAAACTGACACTCATAACAATTCAAAAAAGAACCAGCATCACCCTCGTCCTCTTCCAAATGAAGTTCCTCAGAACGTTGATCTTCACGGGAATTATCCATTGCAAAACTTAATGGAAGGAGAAGGAAGTGGGGGAAAGAGGAAGCTAGAAATGGGGGAAAGAGGAAGCCAGAAATGGGTGATAGAGAGGAGAGACAGAAGTGGAACACGGAAGTGAAGGGAGACAGAAATTAAATATGGATAACAACTTAGCGTCGAAATATGAATACATTACGTCGCTTAAAACCGACACAATCACTGACTAAACCTCCCCACACGTAACCTGACATAAAGCCTGCTATACTTGTCAGTGCAAGCCTATTGCGTCGCTTTAAACCGACGTTATCTTGCATAGCGTCGAAATAAGGGCCTACTGCGTCGTTTAAAACCGACGTTAGCTTGCATAGCGTCGAAATAAGCACAGGTTTGTGTCGCTTAAAACCGCCACTATATCTGATTCGACCTATATTATAGCCTGACATAGTTTTGACTGAAAGTCTGACATGTTTCAGTCATAAATGCCTTTGCGTCGAAATAAGGTCACATTGCGTCGGTTTTAACCGACGTTAGCCTGACAGGTTTTTAATAAGAGAAAGTTTGTGTCGAAATATGAAAACATTTGCTTCGAAATAAGAATCGTCTGACATTCAATTAGTCTCGAAAATGTATAATTTTGCCTCGATTAAAACCAGTCCAAGTTGACATGCCAATCAATTCAACCCATTCCCAGCAAAAAATACCGGGAAACCTCCCGCCGAACATAAAAATAAAATTTGTACTTCCCAAAAAAAAAGGAACAAATAAATAAATGTATTAAGTTATGTTATGTCATATAATATTTTAATAAATAATTAGACATGCCAATCAATTTACCCAAAATTTAAAAATAATTAGTTATGTTATGTCATATAATATTTTAATAAATAAATTTATTAAGTTGAATCAATTTTTTTTGCACTGTAATTGTTATTTTAATTTGTTGTTATTTTGATAATTTTTTGTTGTTATTTACTAGAATGGATTAGATGAACATAATTTGAGTTGTTATGAGAAAATGGAATGAATAATATTTATAAGCATTTATGTTAAATTAACAATATTAAATATAACCTAAACTTATAATATTTAGGAATATAAGAATATATTATGTTAAATTAATTTTTTTTGCACTCTAATTGTTATTTTAATTTGTTGTTATTTTGATACATTTGATAACATTTGGTTGTTATTTACTAGAATGGATTAAACACCATTGAACCCAAATCAAAGTTGGAAGTGTGGTGATATGTAGAGTTGCTCCACATCGGAAAGTTAATTACCCTAGAAAGCTTAGAAGAGTTGAGTCACTCTTTGTATTTTAAATTGAAGATCGAATTCATTCATTGTATTCATATAGGGTCAAGGAGTGTAGTTATAAAAAATCATCTAAATCGGAGTTAAAATAACCGTTAAATCGTGATTTTTCGTTTATAACCGTCGAAAAGTTTTGTCCCGTTACTTGATCTCTGAATGTTTTTTTTTTGTGATTTTTTGCTGATGTGATCTCCAAGCATATACAAACAATTTTGACGGTTTGGATCGTTGAAATTAGTTTTGGAGAATTCGTAAAACGATAGATTGGCTAACACTTAGAGTTTATTTATACTTTCATTAAGTATAACGTAAGATTTTGTGGTATCCACTTGTGTAAATATTTTAAATTGAAGATCGAATTCATTCATTGTATTCATATAGGGTCAAGGAGTGTAGTTATAAAAAATCATCTAAATCGGAGTTAAAATAACCGTTAAATCGTGATTTTTCGTTTATAACCGTCGAAAAGCTTTGTCCCGTTACTTGATCTCTGAATGTTTTTTTTTTGTGATTTTTTGCTGATGTGATCTCCAAGCATATACAAATAATTTTGACGGTTTGGATCGTTGAAATTAGTTTTGGAGAATTCGTAAAACGATAGATTGGCTAACACTTAGAGTTTATTTATACTTTCATTAAGTATAACGTAAGATTTTGTGGTATCCACTTGTGTAAATATTTTAAATTGAAGATCGAATTCATTCATTGTATTCATATAGGGTCAAGGAGTGTAGTTATAAAAAATCATCTAAATCGGAGTTAAAATAACCGTTAAATCGTGATTTTTCGTTTATAACCGTCGAAAAGCTTTGTCCCGTTACTTGATCTCTGAATGTTTTTTTTTTGTGATTTTTTGCTGATGTGATCTCCAAGCATATACAAACAATTTTGACGGTTTGGATCGTTGAAATTAGTTTTGGAGAATTCGTAAAACGATAGATTGGCTAACACTTAGAGTTTATAATTATTATAATTAGTATAAAACTACAAATAATAAAAAATAATTATATATAATTATTATTATTAGGGTGTAAAACATTCATTGCATTCGTATAGGGGTGTAAAACAGTTAAATTAATATATAATTATTATTGTTTTTAGGGGTGTAAAACAATTAAATTAATATATAATTATTAATATTTAGGCTATAAAACTGCAAATAATAAAAAATAATTATATATAATTATTATTATTAGGGGTAATGCATATGATTGACAACAAGTATCTTGCGTCGAAATAGTCTCATATTGCGTCGAAATAGGCTAGGGTTGCGTCGGTTAAAACCGACGCCAAGTCTGACACACATGTCCTAAGCTTAACATTGCGTCGAAATAGGCTAGGGTTGCGTCGGTTAAAACCGACGCCAAGTCTGACACACATGTCCTAAGCTTAACATTGCGTCGAAATAGGCTGGAGTTGCGTCGGTTAAAACCGACGCAATTCTGACATACCTGAAAAATGCCGTCGGTTAAAAGCGACAGAATGTCAAGGAAAAAAAAAAAAAAAAAAAGAAATATAATTTTATAATACGATATCATAGCATACAAAATAAAACAAAGTCTAATTAATACAAAAAATAATTAACAAAAAATAATTAATATATTTATTCCCTGTCATCATCTGTTAGCTCTTCGTCGGTATTGGCATGATTAACGAACCCGGTAGGCAACGCTAATGATTCAAGAAAGGGAGTCTCTTCCACGCCAACCCTTGTATGAAAATTTTCATTATCAAGAATTCGATCATCCAAGTTCGGCGTGTCATAATCATCAATAGCATCACTATCCTCTAATACGTCAAATAAATCTCTTGGCTGAGTTCGAACAACTACGTGCCAATCTTTTTCAATCGTGTCCTCCACGTAAAATGCCTGTAATGCTTGTGATGCTAGTATGAAAGGATCCTCTTTAAATCCCAATTGATTGAAATTCACCATAGTAAATCCATATTGATCAGTCTTCATTCCTCGTGGACTTTCACTATTAACCCATTCGCACTTAAATAACATCACAGCTCGACCCCTATCTCCTGCTTCAGTAGGACCACAATATTTGACCTCAAACATATCTACAACTCTGCCATAACAATTTACTTGCCCAATTGCTCCAGGAACATTTGCAGGTACAAAGACACCACAGTTTTGATTCTTATGCTTATCATCCACAGATTTTATACGAAATCTAAATCCATGAACAATGTGACTTTTGTATCTGCTCACAACCCTACTAGGATAATTAGCTAGCCAATGCAAGTCTTGAGATATCAATGTGTCATTAGCATCATATCTTGAATTCATCTGTAATAAGTATGAAGATAAATATTGACAAAATAACTATAAACATGTTATAATTAAAATGCAAAACAATAAATAAATAATATGATTATTATATCAACTCACATGTTGCTTGAACCATTCTGGAAATTCTTTCTTGCTTAGCTCTTTAATTTGTCGCATAGTTAACCTTTCTCGACGATATTTAGTTTTCAAGAATTCTTCATGTTGCCTACACAATTATGTCCAATTTAGATAATTATTTTTTCAAAGTTAAGAAAACCAATAAAACATTTCGACGTATGATTAAACATTCTTACCTTCTAAATGGGCTAACTTCATCACAATTATTTAGAATGTATCTATGGCACTGATCAAGAACATTTAGATTGAGCTCCACATTTTCTCCTGAACCCATATAACATCCTTTCGAGTCAAAAATTGATAACCCACCAGATACTCCACGTCCAATCCCATCTTCATTTCGGCCTCTACGGGTACGACGAGACTCAACGTCTCTAAGATACATGGAACAAAATGACAAGCACTCATCCACCAAATATGCTTCAGCAATAGAACCTTCAGGACGACCCTTATTACGAACATAGCGCTTCAGTGTTTGCAAATACCTACAATTATAAAACGAAATACAAATTATTATAATTATTAATTAAAGTTATGACTACAATTGTAAAAAAATTATAAAAATTTATTCATTACCGTTCAATTGGATACATCCATCTATATTGAACAGGGCCTGCAAGCGCTGCTTCATCTGCCAAGTGAACTGGGAGGTGCACCATTATATCAAAAAATGCAGGAGGGAATATTTTCTCAAGTTGACATAATGTCAAGGCAATTCTTGAATTCAGTTGCTTAAATCCTTCCTCAGACTCCTTCTTACTACATAACTGTCTGAAAATTGCACTCAACTCTAATAAAACCATAGTAACAGCTTTAGGCAAAACCGGGCGTATTGCAAGCGGGAGTAACTGCTGCATTAAAACATGGCAATCATGACTTTTCAACCCATGTATTTTTCGTTCATTCACGTGCACACATCGTGACAGATTTGATGAATATCCATCTGGGACCCGAATAGTAGACAATACTTTACAAAACGCAGTTTTTTCTTCTCTTTTCAATGTGAACAATGCTGGAGGTCGAAATGTTCTATTTCCTTCTCTACGTGGGTGTTGACTATGTCTTATGTTCAAGAATTCAAGATCTGCACGTGCCGCCAATCCATCTTTAGACTTTTCTATATCTAGCAATGTTCCCACCACACTGTCACATATATTCTTCTCGATATGCATAACATCAAGATTGTGTCTAATCAAGAGATGCCTCCAATAAGGTAGTTCATAAAAAATCGATTTCTTCTTCCACTGACTGTTACTACTTGTACTGCTCGAAGCTCTTCTTCTGCGTTGCCCAACTGAAGCATCCTTGTTTGGTTTTCCAAAAGTAAATCTCAATGTAGAAAGTTCTTCGAGACATTGTAAACCAGTCCACTGCCTTGGTGCAGTACGATGCTCTCGACGACCATTAAAAGTGATGGTTTGCCTTCAAAACCTATGATTATCTTCAAGAAATCGTCGATGCCCCATATAACAAATCTTGCGACTCGCTGGCAAGTAAGTAGATTCTTTATCATGCATGCAATGTGGACAAGCTTTATAACCATGTGTACTCCATCCTGACAACATTCCATAAGCCGGAAAATCACTTATGGTCCATAACACGGCAGCCTTCATCGTAAAACTTTGGTTGGAAAACGCATCATAAGTGGGAATGCCCACCTCCCACAACTCATTCAGCTCGTCAATCAATGGACGCATGTATACATCAATCTCTTTACCAGGACTGCGCGGTCCTGGTATTAACAAAGACAATAACAAATTTGGTTGCTTCATGCACATCCAAGGTGGCAAATTATAAACAGAAAGCACCACAGACCATGTGCTATGATCATTCCTCATTTTCCCAAAAGGATTAAATCCATCACTGGCTAACCCTAATCGGACATTTCGAATTTCTGACGCAAAATCCGGATATAAATTATCCAAATGCTTCCATGCGGGAGAATCTGAAGGATGTCTCATAAACTCATCCTTAGGACATTCAGTTGCATGCCATCTCATATGTTCAGCCATATGCTTCGACATAAAAAAGCGTTGCAATCGTGGTTTTAAAGGAAAATACCACATAACCTTAGCTGCGACCTTTTTCCTCGAGCTATCCTCTGCATCGGTAATTTTATATCTTGATTTACCACAAACTGAGCACACGGTCAAATCTGAAGTATCTTTCCAATAGATCATGCAATCATTGGGACATGCATCAATTTTCACATACGACAGCCCCAAGTCATTTATAAGTTTTTTTGCTTTATAACAGGATTCAGGCAAACAATCCCCTTCAGGCAACATTCTTTTAATTAACTCCAGTAAAGTGGTGAAGATCTCGTCAGGCATTCCCGCTAAACACTTGATCTGATACAATCTTACAACTGCTTCCAATTTCTTAAACTCCTTACAACCTGGCCACAAATCTTGATCTGCCTCTTCAAGCAACTTAAAAAAAGTCTGCACCTCTTCTGGACGCCCTTCCCCAATAGGGGGTTCAGTAGATGGCCCAACACCTTCTTCTGTTAATGGTTGGACAAATACATCATTAAGAAAATCATGCATGCCAATCACCTCATCTCCTGTTTCTTCTTCTCCAATTCCCACATTTTGCTCTCCAATGTTTTGCTCGCCATGATGTCGCCAACAAGCGTTTTTATAATCTTTATCCATATCATACAATATGAGATGTTCAACAATGGTGTTCCTAACAAAAGAATATCGATTACAACATCTTTTGCAAGGACATCTAAACTTATCAGGACCAACACCATTTGCAACTGCTTGATCCAAAAACAAATTAATTCCAGTTGTATACGCTTCAAAATTTCGGGGTATTGTCAACCAACTCTTGTCCATATTTTACCACTTTACGAAGGTAAAATATTATGTTGACACTAAGATGCCTACAATCTTTCAATCCCTATCATGTAGGCATAACTATCAAAATTTTCAATTTCTATCTTTCACCCCTCGAACTCTATCACGATTGCAATCTTTTAATTTTCAACACCTATTATAGTAAAAGCAAATTAAAATAACAACAAAAAGTTGTCAAAATTATGCTCATCTAATCCATTCTAATAAATAACAACCAAAAGTTATCAAACTTATCAAAATAACAACAAATTCAAATAACAATTAGAGTGCAAAAAAAATTAATTAATATATTCTTATATTCCTAAATATTATAAGTTTAGGTTATATTCTTATATGAAAGGTTATATTCTTATATGAAAGGATATTCTTATATTATAAGTTTAGGTTATATTCTTATATTTTTATATTCCTAAATATTATAAGTTTAGCTTATATTCTTATTAGAGTGCAAAAAAAAAAAAAAAATAACATAATATATTATAATATTACTCAATATTATAAGTTTATGTTATATTTAATATTGTTAATTTAACATAAATGCATATAAATATTATTCATTCCATCTTCTCATAACAATTCAAATTATGTTCATCTAATCCATTCTAGTAAATAACAACAAAATATTATCAAAATAACACCAAATTAAAATAACACTTAGAGTGCAAAAAAAAAAATTAACATAATATATTCTTATATTACTCAATATTATAAGTTTATGTTATATTTAATATTGTTAATTTAACATAAATGCTTATAAATATTATTCATTCCATCTTCTCATACCAATTCAAATTATGTTCATCTAATCCATTCTAGTAAATAACAACAAAAAATTATCAAAATAACAACAAATTAAAATAACAATTAGAGTGCAAAAAAAAAAAAAATTAACATATTGTATTCTTATATTACTCAATATTATAAGTTTATGTTATATTTAATATTGTTAATTTAACATAAATGCTTATAAATATTATTCATTCCATTTTCTCATAACAATTCAAATTATGTTCATCTAATCCATTCTAGTAAATAACAACAAAATATTATCAAAATAACACCAAATTAAAATAACACTTAGAGTGCAAAAAAAAAAAATTAACATAATATATTCTTATATTACTCAATATTATAAGTTTATGTTATATTTAATATTGTTAATTTAACATAAATGCTTATAAATATTATTCATTCCATTTTCTCATAACAATTCAAATTATGTTCATCTAATTCATTCTAGTAAATAACAACAAAAAATTATCAAAATAACAACAAATTAAAATAACAATTAGAGTGACAAAATTAATTAATTCGAGTAAATTTTTATTAATTTAACAAAAATAGTAGAATTTTATCTAAGTGCTTAAATTATAATTTTTAAATAAATAAACTTGTGTATTATACAATTTAAAAATTAAAGAAGTTAGGGATACAAACCTGATTTGTTGAAGAATTTCGACGTCAACAATTCTTTATGTACTCAACCAACTCCAATAACTTTCCTACAAAAATAAATTGTAACTAAAAATTAAACAAGAAAAACTTACTGTTGTGAAAATAAAAATATTATAAGCAAGAAAAACTTACTGTTGTGAAGAGGAACAAATGAATTTTGAAAATCAAAGGAGAAAGCTGAAAGAGAGAACAGAGGAACAAATGAAGTTTGCAAACCAAAGGAGATAGCTGAAAGAGGAACACGGGAGACTTTGTAAAAATTGGAAGAACGAATAAGAAAAGTGCAAGAGAAGAAAAAGAAAACACGGGGGAGAGGGTATAAAGAGCAACAATGTGTCGCTTACAACCGACACTGGTTTTCAAAATATATGTCGCTCAAAACCGACGCAAGATTTAAAATATTAAAAACAAGAATTAGTGTCGCCTAGAAGCGACACTAATAGTTTATGTCGCTTAAAAGCGACACTATTTTATTTAAAGCGACGCCATTGCTTAAAAATATTAAAATATATGTCGATTATAAGCGACACTAAATTTTTACGTCGGTTTAAAAGCGACATAGAAATTTTATGACGCTTATAAGCGACACTAAATACGACGTCATCTTCACTGAGTGTCGCAAATCTCTTTTTCGCCACTATATAATATTAAAGCGACGCAAGAAGTGACACTATTAGGTCCTTTTGTAGTAGTGTAAGTACTGTCTTAAGCTTGACGGCCGCTATTGACCATATTCTTCATCTCTACTTTCTGTTTTGGAGTTCCCTTTGGCTGGAAATTAAAAAAAAAAAAAAAAAAAGAAAAAGAAACAGAGCTCTTGTTTTTCTGGAAGAGAAAACAGAGCTCTTGCGTCTGTGTGAAGGTGTGACGAGTTTTCGATCTGACGATCTGGATTTTGTGTTTGTTTTCCTCTGTACAGAAGTGTCATATAAACACAGATGGATGTCCCGCGTTCGGAACTGGAAGGGTAAGCGTACACTCTGCTTCCCCTTTTTTTTTTCCCTCGCCTTTTATTTGGAGAAAATATTAGGGTATCACATTTAATGGCACATATTTATGTCATATATACGCAGTGGATGTAGCCCGACTTGATTGAATAACGATAAATCCATATTATTGTGCGATGAGGCCATGGGGAAATGGGCATCCAAAACAACACTTAACTTGTTATAAACGATGTTGTGTTGGAAATGAAATTGGTTCATGCGTTGTACGTACCGAAGTAGCTTATTACGTTATGGGGGGGATACTACCCCAATTAGTGAGAGAGGGTGGGTTCCAAGATTCCATTCCCTCGTATATAACTTAAAAATGAAGAAATTAACTGATTGATTAGCGGTTAATTTATCAAGAACTCACCTCTTGATAAGTCTAGGCATTTTTTGTTCACAATTAAGAGCATCGAATGTCTAGATCAATTTGTTATAATAATCATTTAAGAAAATAGCAGCTAGATAGGTACCCTGTTACAACTTACTATTGCTTGCGTACTTAGTTGGCTTCAGTTGATATATTGACTTGATTAATTACTAGATATTCCAATTCCATTTAATTTTCTCTTTAACTCTATATATAACAGAACAAGCAACGAAGAACGTTCTACAATGGTATTGCATAAATATATCTCTTCCCTCATCACCATGCTAGGCATCTTCATCCAACTGAAGCAGGGAGCTAAAAATGAGTCTATGTTCGATACAAACTACACGACTATGGTGTCTCTTATTGTTGCCATACTCGCTTATGGCGGATCACTAATTGGCTTTAGAGGCCCTAATTCGTGTTTGGCAGAATCAATCATCAATAAGATTAGCCTCCTCTTTGGAACTCTTGCCGTGGTTTTGGAAGTGGTGATCCTTGTGCCAGTTTTAGGGCTAGTAGCTGGGTTGCTCTGGGTTGTTTGGTTATTGAAAGTTGTACGAAATGACTACCCCTTCGAGTACCTCAAAACGTTGTATGAAAATGCAATTGCATTAGTTGTTCCTACATTTGGCAAATTGAAAGACTATCTGAACATGATCATCCGACATTTCGCAACGGAACCCAAAGAACAAATTGATGAGCTTCCTCAAGTAACCACAGTTTAGGTTTGGGGTATTTCTTTTACTCATTATTTTTCTCCTCATTTTGTTGAGTTGGACTATATTGAACCCAACATATGAATAGTTAAGTGCGAAGTGGTAATATGTGAAAGAAAATTCAAGCAACGACATCCTAATTGATTAGCTCTTTCATGCACGACTGTATTTTGTGCTCCGTTTTGCTGTCTCATTTCTTGTGCTGCTAATCTTGCTAGCTCCATCTGGAGTATATTACTATGAAACTTATTGAGTTAAATAGATAGTGTTCAAGTATTGCTATGTAAATTTATATGAATTGATTTTAGTATTGTCTACTTTTTTAATCAGGGCAAGTCACTCTCTTTTTTTTGCCAAAAAAGAAAAGAAATTTCTAATCTAATTGTCAAATCCTTGGCCAACTTGTGGTCAATTGCTGATCAACGAAGAGCTCTTTCAATCAGGCATTAGAAAGTGAACCAATAAATTTAACTAGATTGGTTAAAAGTGAACCAACATGTGGATGGTAATGCTAAATTGGAGATGACGGTGTCCATGTTTTGTCGAATGAGGAGATAAGAGTAAAGGAAGGGCAGAGAGGAACGGAGTCTGGGTTTTGAGTGAAGGGGAAAAGCAGTGTCTGTATCACACTTGGCGTGGGAGGTTATTGGCCACGAAACGATATACAAAAGCTTGTCATGCCATCCACTGTGGAAGGGAGGGAAAAAAACAATTTTGTGCTAAATTTTATCGCCTACGTCCCATTTCACTTTCATCTCTTTTTAATTAAAAACGGGTTTAGCATCTCTTCTTTTGTGAGGAAAATTTTAAACTTTGGTCATTGGATCACATGGTTGTGAACTCATCAGTGTCTGAAATTTCTTTGATATGGTTGATATTTCCGTAGAAATATCCAAAAAATTCGAAAAAAGATATGGAAAACTAGCTAACGCAAATTGTAGTTGTTGTTTCGACTTTTACCATTAAAAAGTCAAATGGTTAAGAAATCGAACCAAACTTTTAGTGGCGGTTTTGGTTATGGGTGAGCATGGTTCGGTTTATTTCAATTTGACCCAAAAAATATAACGAAACTAATTACCATTTAGTAGTTCGGTTTGATTTTTGATCAATACCATCATTGAAATCGAACCACATCATTTTTAATCGGTTTGATTTGGTTGATTTATGCCTAATCCAACACAAATATTAAAAAAGGGTCAACATTTTAGAGTTTTAATCTTTTAAGCATCCACACATCTTTCACATTCCAATTTAATCAAAAGATTAAGTTTTCCGATACATAAATATTTATCAAGTCAAATAAAACTATGTTTTAGTTAAAAAAAAATCTCATACTACCAAACAACATATCTAAACTACATATTAATAGAACCATTTTTGTCAACTAAAATAGAGTGAAAATACTATTTAGTCTTTTATCACAACAAACAATTAAGGGCAGTAACGTAATTTAAAAAAACAAAATTTTGCTATTTTTTGTTTAAGCCTCACCTACATGTAATTTAACATCTCCAATTTTGTTTGTTTTTTTTTTCTTTTTTTTTTGTTTTTTAAAACCTCTCTTCTTCCATCTCCACTCTCACGTTCTCTCTCACTCTCTTACTCTCTCCAAATTTAATAACAAAAATAAAAAAATTTGGCACACATTTTGTAAGCATAAAAGGAATTGGATCCCATCCAAATCCTAGGATCCCCGCATCTTAGCTATTCATCGTTTATTGTACGATCAGAAATTATATGGATTTTTTATTTAAAATTAAACACAAATAATATCTAACAAAAACTGATCATACGATGTACGATTAACGGCTAGGATGTGGAGATCCTTAGAATCCCCACAAAGTGATCTTGAGGATCCTCTTCAAGCATAAATTACATCAATTCAAATTACGAGCGCCGCCGGCATCTCAGTTTGGTAAAAGTCTAAACTCATGTAGAGAATACAGTTACATCAATTCGCCTCTGCATTTCATCAAAAGCAAAAGAGTCATAAGAAATAGTACACATTCTCGTTCGGAACTCATGAATAATATCTGCCTTTGTTTGGAACTCTTGCTTCGATTGTATTAGTTCAATATTACCTGACTATTGTATACAATTAAGTGCAGTTGCTAAATTCGTTTTTGGCATTTCGTTCTAAATTCCAATTCTTTGTTTTGACTTTTGAGCCTGTGAAATCAAAAATAAAAGTTTTTTTCTTCAAACTAATACCACAGAAACCTTCGAATTCTCTCACATTTCATTCGGTTGAAGAATATAATAATCTCACATTAAAATTAGAATTAATGAATTTCAATTTAATTTTTATCGATTAGTTCCACTTCTAATTATACCAATGAATTTTTGTAATAAAACTCGAACACTTGTCTTGTTGTGCAGATGGTACAATGCAAATCCACCATATAAACTCATCTTTTTGAAATCTTGACACATTTTTAACTTCGTGGCTGGCTTGCCCTTGGGTATAAATCACTACACACCCTACTTGAAGCTTTATGTATATAGGAGCTTCCTTCGCGTGAGTTTACAATGAGGATTACTTGACTAATCATTTTTTGTTGGTCGGTTAAAGGGTGCCATTATCACTGCGCTAGTTTATTGTCTGTAGTAAAAATATTTCCACGTCACGACCAACACTCCAAAAGGAATCCAAATCCTAGGATCCTGAGGATCTGTCAATCTTATTTATTAATCGTACATCATGTGGTCAGAAATTATTTTAAATATTTTTATTTAAAATTAAACACAAACAATATTTGAAAAAACTAACTGCACTATGTACGATGAATGGATACGATTCATGGATTGCCAAGATCCTCATCAAAAGATCCGGAGATGATCATGTTGCAGCCGATGTCCACATCTGGAGTTTTCTAAAGCCAAGTTTGCTTGGAGGATGATGCTGTTGGCTACAAAAGAAAATGACACCCTCCGTTGGAGCCGATGTCTACATCTGATGTTTTCTAAAGTCAAAGTTGCTTGGAGGACTCGTTGGTCGAAGGAAAGATGGAATCAATTCGATTTAAATTATGAATAGTCCTAGCAAACCCTAAGAAACTTAATCCTCTTTTAGCTTTAATACTCTTTTTACATCACAACTTCACTTCTTTTTTACCTAAATTATGGTCCCACAAGAACAACATCCTCGGGCAAAGATGCCAAATTGATACATAGAACACCTACACAACATCCTCCACAACAATTGGTACACAATGAAGAAAAAAAAGAAAAAAAGAAAAAAAAAGTATCCTGTTCGCCAAAAATTGGTACACAACATCCTGTTCACCATAAAAAATAAATAAATAAAACAAACATCCTGTTCAACAATTGGTACACAACATCGTGTTCACAAGAGCCCATCCCACACAACTAGTCGCTTTCTATCTTTGTTTTGCACGTTCAAAGAAGTGACCTGAGTCCCCCGCTACCTATTCCTACACCGGTATAAAAATACTCAGAGAGTTCTCTTCTGCCACATCCCGGCAGCGCCTAGTAGCATTTTTTCCATCACAAGATCATATTTCTGGTTCAGTAATTGCATTTGAAGACGACGTCCATTCTACACAGCTCCTTCCATTCTTCAACCCTTGGCTGCTCACAAAAGTAAGTGCCTTTGTTTTGTGCTTTCATTTTGTGAGTGTAGCTCAAATTGCACTCTCCACCGGGCCATTTGAATATCTGCTTGCCATATTAAGTACCCTCTTAAGCTTGACGGCCGAAATTGGCCATATTTTTGTCGCAAATCAGTTTTGGAGTTCTCTTTTGCCGGAATTTAAACAAAACAAAACGAAAAACAGAGCTCTTTGTTTTTTCGATAAGAGAAAACAGAGCTCTTGCGTCTCTGTGTGTGTGAAGGTGTGACAAGTCTTCGATATGAATTTTGTTTTTGTATTTCTCTGTACGGAAGTGTAATATATACGCAGATGGATGGTGTTCCAGAAATTGCTGTTAGCGTCCCTCTACGTTCGGAACTGCAAGGGTAAGTGCGTACTCAGCTTGCATTTTTTTTTTTTTTTTTTTGCCTTTTATTTGGGAAGAATGATAGGGACACCAAAAAGAATTGATTAATTAGCCATTAATCTATAGAACTCAGCTCTTGATATGTCTCTCTAAGCATTTTTTTTTTTTTGCCAAATTAAGAGCATCGAATGTCTAGATCGATCTGGTATTATAACAAACATTGAAGAAAATGGCAGCTGGCTTCGCTAGGTATCCTGTTATAACTTCCTTACGTACTGAATTAGTTGATTTCAACTGATATATTAGCGTGATTAATTTCTAGATATATCAGAGGTTCCCATTCTTCTTATTAATTAGAGTAACACTAGGAAGACCAGATATTTATACCACACGAGTTACTTTTCACATTAGATGGTATAAAAATACTGTATTCGTATCATTTTTCTATTAGTTAAGGTTACTATATGTATTTCATTAATGCAATTAATTCCATTTAATTTTCTCATTAACTACATATGTATAACAGCATAAGGGAAGAACTTTCTACAAAAGTATTGCACAAATATATATGTTCCATCATCACCATGTTCGACATCTTCCTCCCACTGAAACAAGGAGCCAAAAATGAGTCTCTATTCAACACAAACTACCCGGTTATGGTGTCCCTTGTCGTTGCGCTCATCGCTTATGGTGGATCACTCATTGGCTCTAGAATACACGTCCAAACTCACCCTAATTCGGATTTGGCAGAATCAATCATCAATAAGATTAGCGTTCTCTTTGGAATTCTTGTCTGGATTTTAGAAGTGGTGATCCTTATGCCAGGTGTAGGGCTAGTTGCCCTATTCTTTTGGGTTATTTGGTTTGTGAAAGTTGTAGCTGAGTACACTTGTCAATACCTCAAAACGTTGTATCAAGTGCAGTTGCATCAGTTGTTCATACATTTGGCAAATTGAAAGACTATCTGAACATGATTATCCGACGTTTCACAACAAAACTTGAAGGACAAACTAATGAGCTTCCTCGAGTGAGTTCTACCACGGTTTAGGTTTAGGTTTAGGTTTAAGGTATGCTTTTTACTTGTTATTTTTTTTTTCCTTATTTTGAGTTGGACTACATTGAACATAGCTTATGACTAGTTAATTGCGAAGTGGTTATATGT